TTGGGCACTCCTCTTGAAACCGGCTGCCAACTAGACATGGAGCCATTGATCACTACCCGTTGAGCCCGATGATCTAGCCAGCTTTCTATCCACCTTACAGTATGATCTGGCATGGATCTCCCTCTGCCAGGTGTGCATCATCTACAGCTCACAGACCTAGAACCTCAAAGGTATTTAGGCTCCTAACTCCCATTGGAATCAATGGGCATTAGGAGTCTGAAACCTTTGAGGCTCTGGGCTGTTTCCATTGTAGTTATCAGCTCTGCTGTCCTGCATTGAAGTACCTTTACAGTGCTTCGCTGACCTAGCAGTGATGGTCTGCAGGGGAAGTGGCAGCAGCAGGCGCTCTGTCAAGCCACCCCGCTCTGATGCAATGCTCCCATGAACAATGCTAATGGCAAGCCTGAAACCTGCCCTGATAGGACTGGCTTTGGAAGTGCATGCTGGGTATGAAAATGCAAAGAGCACGCCATACCTTTGCTTCCAGCATTTCCATGCCCACAGCAAGGAGCTCTTGCAAATGGGACAGGCTTTGCAGAGGCTACTAGATGAGCGTGGTAGCATGTTCCGGTGCTTAGGGCACCATGCTGGGAGCTAAGAGAGATGAGTTCTGTTACTGGCTCTGTTGCTGACCTGGTTCCCAAGCACCATCACCGCTCTGTGCTGCAGTTTCCTCTTTCAACAGGGGAGAGGAAGGATAGTCCAGTGGTTAGGGTACTGACATGGAAGATCTGGGTTCAATTCCCTGGTCTGCCACAGATGTCCTGTGTGATCACAGCCTGGTCATTTAGCTGCTCTGTGCCTCGGTTCCCCTCTATACAACCAGGATAACAGCCCTTCCCTACCCCTGGGGCGTTGTGAGGGTAAATACACTAAAGATTGTGAGGCGCTCAGATGTCTGGGATGGGGGCCAGCTCGGTACCTGAGATGCATAGATAGATAGATAGATAGATTCTCACCCAACCTTTACAAAGTGCTTTCAGATCAGCAGATAAAACACCTTACAGAATTGCTACATGCTGTTATATCCAAGGGATTCTGGGGCTCATGAGACAGCAGTGCCATCCTCTGGGAAAAGACTCCCCTCGGGGATGTTCCTGGCACCGTTATCCCAGTACCAGGCCCCTGTGCACTCAGGGACGTGTGACCTTGCCTGTGGTTGTTTGAGGCCAGGGAGAGACCTGTTATTTTTTTTAAATGGGTTCTTTATCTTTTGCCCTGGCAGCAAATGGAGGAGATCTGGCGTGAGATGCGCTGGATGATGGATGCCTTGCAGCATGCCCGGTACAAGCAGCCGTCTTGTGGTGTACCTCTCACCTGGTTCCTCAATGAATCCAGCGGTGCAATGAAAGAGAAAACACAGTCCACGTCATCGCATCTGGACTACCTCCCCTCACCCACCCCATCTCCAGAAACAAGCCGCAAGCTCAACTCTGGTAAGGGATCCTAGCACGTTATGTGGTGCCTAGTTAGTTCATGTGTATCATACAACTGGGAATGTTGCAGCTGCTTGTAAATATTCTGTGAATGAAATCTGACTGGTGAGCTTTCAAAGTCCAATGGGTCTGGCATTCTCAGATCCTTCATGGAAACCTGTCGGTTAGAGTGGAAGGTTTTGCTACCCAGATCCCATCTGATGCTTGCATTAAGGCTATGAATAGAAAATGACTCTGTAATGATGGTATCTAATTATTCCACATATGCTCAATATGCTTTATTATCCTTTATTATTATTATTATGGTTCCTAGACGGCTCATTTATGGATCTGGGCTCCATTGTGCTAGGCACACACACAAAAAAGACAGGCTTTGCCCCAAGCAGCTGATCATCTAAGTACAATTTCAATAGCTTTCATACTCAGTTGGCTCAGCTCACAAGTCATAACAGGTGCCTCTAAGTAACAGCACTGCAGATTCCACCTGGGATCTGGAAAATAAATCTAGGTGCATCCTGTCTCTAGTACCATCACCAGTGATAAAGGTTCAAGGAGCTGTGCTGGGGACCCACATAGCAATTGGCTGCCTGGAATCAGAACGTAGCCAACAGCTGAGTTAATGAATCAGGGGCAGGCTAGAATCCAGATCACTCTGCTGGCTTGGCATATTTCTCTGACTCCGTGCATAGGGCTCTGAAAAGCAAGAGGCAGAAGACAGCTGCAAAGCCAGGGTGGCATTTACATAGCTGAATGAGTACCATGAGCCCCATGTTAAGTAGGCACTGCCCCAGTGAATGAACGAGCAGCACTGGGAAGGAGGAGTCAAAGATGGGCCTTGAGAACTCAGACACGGTGGTTTCGTGGTCTAAGGGTCATTTGCTAGAAGTCAAGGAGGAGGGTGGAATGTTCACTCAGGAAGCATCATTTTTCTGCAGCTCTCATGCTGAGTGAACAGATCCATCTCCAGCTGTGCAGTGTAGGGGAAATGGACCAGGAGCTGGAACAATGCTAACAGTGGGGAGCGTGGAGGACTGAAGCCACCTGGTAAATGTCACATTCTGGTTTTTCAAACTGATATTTAGTGGCTTAGATTTTAATTTTGGACACGGGCTTTCACCAGTAAATGTCAATAAAAGCTGGAAATCAGAAGCCCAGAGGATAAAGCTATTTCTTGCCTTCAGATTCATAGATTTGCTCACTTTTGACCCTTGCAGACAGACGTTGACTAAATCAACTTACCCAGGTAGAGGCACAAATATCTCAGCCCGCAGTAGGGGGGTGATGCCTTCTGGCTTTTGCTGCCTGGACTTCAAATCATGCTCAGACAGCTTCACTATCCTTTTGCATTGACTCAGAGAAATGGTGACCCTCCTCTTCCTTTTCACTCCCAGCAGATTCCCACGGGATCTCGGATGAGGAGGGCTCGTCGGAGGTGTTCCTGGCTACAGACAGCGACTATGATTCCAGCAGGGCCCAAAGCCCCAAGGAGCTGGACCTGGTTTACTCCTTGGGGCCTGAGTGCTGTGGCAGAAAAATTGCCCGAACCTTGAGGGACAGTGCCCCTGATGTCCTGCAGAGCCATGAACTCAAAGCCCCACCGCTGCTCCCAGAGGAACCCCGGCCACCCCCAGAGCTGTATGACAGTGACTTTGTCCTCCCCAGCCGGCAGATTGAGCTCCTCCGCATCACAGAGAAGCGTCAGGCCTACTGCGTCCGCACAAGCAGCTTGGATTTCCCCAAGCCCCTCTTCCAGGTGGCCAGGAAGTCCTGTCCTGGCTCCGTCGATAGCTCCCCGACAGAAACCAGGACGACGGGCCAGTGCAGCTTGCTCAGGCTGGACACTGGCTCAGCTTTCAGCCCCGAGCACAGCCAGGCTGTTGAAAGCTCTGAGCCTGTCTTCCGGACACGCTCAGTGGAATGGACTCGCACCTTCCAGGAGCCACCGGAGCTGGGATACATAGCGAACCGAGGGAAGAAGCCAGGCTCAGCCACCTTACGGGTCTGTCCTCAGTATGAAACCGGACTGTCCAACGAGACCAGCGTTAAGGTATCACCGTGCCCCCAGGGCAGCTGGAAAGTCTGCTCCAAACAGCAACAATAAACCCCAGCTTTGATGATGTAAATAGGGCTTGGGGGAACACTCGGTGAGGGGGCTCTTTGCCCCTAGGCCTGAGAATACTGCCTCTGTCCAACCTTCCCACTGAGGCTTTTCTCCTTAATATTTTCTGCTATTGCCACTGCCATCAGCGCTGCTCCACAGTGCAGCATGGCCACCGACGTCCCAGCAGGCCAAGATGACAGGAGCTGGTACCCACTGTGTCGGCAGCAGTACCCCACCTTCACTGCGCCAGTACGGCTGATTTGGTGCTAGAGATGGCAGGAGAGTTAAGGAGCAAAGGCCAGGTAGACAGGCCTGTGCCGTTCCCAATGTGTGTGGCCTTGCCAGAAGCTGGGGTTGATGGAGATGCTGGCCGGTGCAGAAACCCTGTGTCCAGGGAGCTCATTTTGATAGGGGCATGCGTCTTCCCTCCCTCTCTCCCCTCCTCTAATGCTTCACCACTCCATAGTCCACACCCTCCTTTCTGGGCTGCTAGAGAGTTGTTTCATTCGACAGTTAGATGCAATGCAACATGTTCTCTTGGGTCACCATTCCCACAGTGTATCCTGGGTCAACATCCCTTGCAGTGATCCCATGGCTTATCCTGGGTCACCGTCCCCTTCCCCAGCATTCCCGCTCTTTATCCTGGGTCACTGTCCCCTCACCCAGCCTTCCTGCTCTTTATCCTGGGTCACCTCCCCTCACCCAGTTGATCCTGTGTAGCTAGCCCCTCCCTTCCCTCAGCCCCCAGGGCCGAGTAGTTGTGCTATCAGCAGGGGGCCCCTGTGTGGGGAGACGGAAGAAGGGTCTTCTCCTCTCTTGCTTTGAAGAAGTTGGCAACTAGTCTGCTCTTGCTCACGGAAGTGGGACCACTCTCCCTTCACTGTAAGGACAGTTTCCTCCCCATCTTTGAATCCCGCTCCAAATAACCCTTTCTGGCTTTCTCCATCAACTGACTTCAGCCTGCCGTATCCCTCTGCCCTCCCATGCACAGGCTTACTCCACTTCTCCAGCCTCAGTCTCTCCCAAGTCTGAGCGGGGAAGGGCTGTGTTCTGTCCCTTGCTCTGGCCCTTCTCTGGCACGGGCTTCCTTCCTCCCTTCAAGACATGGAGCCTCTTTCCCTGTGAAAGCATCTCTTTCACTCTTCTGGGAAAGCGAGGGGTCTGACAGAGCAGCCTCTGTCGCTCCTGCCCTTGTAACTGCAGAGAAGGACAGCACTGACGTCTGCAGGTTTTTCTGGCCCTCGAGCGAGGGCAGATAACGAGTGCTCTCTATTTATCTAGCAGGGACTTTACAAGCAGAGGATAATGTGACTCTTCGAGTTTATTTTTCATTTTAAAAGTTACCATCACTTTCTGTGCAAACTGAGCCTGCCCCTGGGGGTCTGCCCAGTTGCCTGGTATGGCTTTTGGTGGTGCAAACGCAGGACGTGCCTGCTTTAAAGCATTTTCTGCTGTCCCCAAGGATGCCAGGCTAAAAACACAGGGCTGGGTGCTCAGCTGCACAAGGTAGCTTAGCCCCACTGGCTGGCTGAGGAGCTGCACCGCACCACACTGCGGGATGTTGCACATAGCTCTCATGAGTGTGCCAAAGGAAATGGGAGCTTGGCCCCCCGTGGTGATGGGAATAGCTGCCTGCTTCAAACCTTCAGGACTGGCCCGTGCCTCTGACAGGGTAGGTCTGCACTTGGAGCTGGAGAGGTCATGTCCAGCATGAGGTGACGTACTCATGCTATCTCTGATCCAGCTGGCGTGCACTAACACTACAGGGTCACCCCCAAAGTGGCTGCCCCGTGTCCATCACCATCCAAGACAGTAAGCACATACTGGAGGTGGCTAGCCCCTCCCACTGCTCTCGCCACCATGGCTACCCTCAGTGCTTAGCGCACTAGCTGGATCAGACCTAGCATGGGCATGTCTCCTCGAGCTGGCCATGACACCGCCAACTCGCAGTGTAGACATACCCACAGTAGTTGACAGCCCCAAGCTGAGAGGAGGTTAGCTGCTTGTCAGTGATTTAAAATTCAGAGGGCAGTCCCCATCAGACTGTCATAAGGACAAGGAAGGACAGAATTAGCCCCCAGCTAGGGCCCTGATCCTGCACATGCTTCACATTGTGTCCAAGCGTTTGCAGGATTGGGGCTAGGTCCCTAAGTCCTTTCATTTGCAAGGGATCTGCCCAAGATGCACTGGTTCATGCCTGCGGGCTTGTGACACCTCCCGGTTCTCTTATTCCCCGCTGACCATCTGTCTCTCTGCCCCCTCTTTCCACAGCTGCACGTCACCACCAAGATGTCAGCAGAAGAGGTGGTGAAGCTGGTGGTGCTGGAGATGAATGAGGTCTCCCGGAATGTGCTGGGCAACGTGGATGCCTTCTGCTACAGCGAGGATCAGCTGGATCACTTTGGACTAGTGTTCGTGTCAGACGACACCGAGCAGTGGCTGCCCGACGACTTCTTACCCCTCTCTCTCCACAACGCCTGGCCTGAGGGGCGGTTCTATGTCCGAATCAAAGAGACATCCCCTCTTTTGTTCCAGTATGGGCCAGCAACCACAGTATGAAAGGAGGGGAGTGGACAGGGTAAACTAGAGGAACCTCAACTTCCACTGAGCAAACAGCTCGTCTCCAATGCTTCCTTCCTACTCAGACACCCTCTCGTCAGACATCCCCAGGGTGGAATAGGATCACACTAGGCTGTGTATTACTTGTTTGTGTTTTTTTTTTTAACCAAAGACACATCAAGACTTGGTTTTTATGACTGCAAGAGATGAGGTGGAGCACAGAAGACTTCACAGCCTTGGGGGGAGCAGTAGCTGGAATAGGATTTTTGAAAGTCAATATTTTGTGAGGAGGGAGGAAGAGTGAGTAGAAAAAAATCACAAAGAAGCAGCAGCAACAATACATAATTCTCCCCCTCCCTCGTACAATCTAAATTTGGGATTTACTGAAGGATAAGCCAGAGATTTCCAGGCGGCGTGGGGAGTGTGGATGGGAGAAGGAGGCAACTTGAAAAGATGTTGCAGAGAAGATTGTTTTGTTAACTGTCCTTGTTTCTATACCAGGAGAAACACTTTATTGCACACAGTTCTTGGAACAAAATTATTTTTTCTCCTTTAAAAAAAAAGTGCAAGAAACACTGGAGCTGTGTGAAAGCCGGACATCCTTTTTACTTCTTTTAAAGGCAAAAGGAAACCGCACACATGCGTGCACACATACTGACACTCACTGATGTTGCCAATATAGGTTTGCTACAGAGCATTTCCCACAATGCATTTAGCACTTCTGTTAAGTTTTGTTTCTTTTGGTTACCGTTTTATTCTGGTGATTGTGATTGGCCTCTCTTATATGTCCAATAGCATGATGTTTTGTTAGCGACTAGGTCTCTTGTTAACTAAGGTTGTTTTTTGAACTCCTGTGGTCCATAGTAAAGATGGCTGTGTTGCTGAGAATGTATCACATTTTTCCTTCTTGTGGCCTGATGCATAGTGCACATTTTCATAGCCTATGTTACTAGAATGAGGTTCTGAATTTAAACTCTGGACTTCCCACAGCCTGCAGACTGTTTAAAAGGACACTGTCAACTTAGGTAAGGCCTACATTATGTGCGTGTGTGTCTGTAGGAACAAAATATGAATAGAAATGTTTGGGTTTTTGTTGTTCTGTAATTCAATGGAAGGAGGTTTGGCATGGGAATTAAACCATTGTCTGAACCATTGGAAACCCACAAACAAGAGCATTGTGGTAGGGCTGGAGGATCAGAGAAGGAAAACAACTGTAAACTTACAGTGAAACTGATTCATCTAGTTTCAAGGCCCAAGCTGAGTGACAGCAACAGGAAAAAAGAACTTAAAGGGTGAACAGTAAGTTAGATGTTAAAACTATTTGTTTGCAGTAATCAAAGGTGTAATTAGTAACAGGCTAAGATTAATATTATTTCTATGTTGACAGTGCCCCTCTCTTCCCCTCTCTATTTTCCCGCAGTTTAGGCCCAGATTCTGTAATGCTCCATTGGACTCCATGCAGACACAGGCATCACCCCACATTTCAGAATTGGTACCTTAATGGTTATACATGCTGCCGTTCTGAGGGCTAGCTGCTGCCATCTCTGTTTAAATGTTCTTTCGAATAGCTTTTTTGGGTAAAGTCAACAGTACTTCATACAGGAAGATGAGAAGTACATTGCAATGCAAGCCCTTCACCACCAAACATCACAGTCATGTTCCAAGGTGAAGGGTTGGCTCAGATCCTCAGCTGGTGTAAATAGATGGAGCTCCACTGTAGACATTAATGGTATTTTAAAGACAATCTACAAATGAAAATAAAAAAAGGCATATGCCCGTTTTCATTTTCCTTTGCAGACAACTTTCAGCAGGTTAAAACTGGTCCCAGTTTTCCAGCCCGAAGAAGGAGTAGGATTATTAATCTCAGAGTTTTTCTTTGAGTAGAGTCCCTTATGGGTGCTCCACTTCAGGTGTGTATGTGCCCCATGCTCCTTTGATCACAGATTTTTGGTAGCAGTGCCCATTGGATCCATGCATGAAACTGCACCTCTTCATGCCCCATACTGAGGATATATAGGGCTGCGCAGGCAAATCACCTTCGGTTTCTTCTCATGTGTGAAGTCCTGCAGAGGGAACTCCAAACCAAAGGAGTAGCTCATGGAGAATCCACAGGGACAAATGTCTCGAAGAATTCTAGTTACTGCTGAAGGTGTTTTTCCATACCTAACAGTTTGTCCATACCTAAGTATCTACTGAAAATGTCCTCTGAATTTTACATCAGCCAAGTCCTCCATCTTCCATTGTTTTTCCTGAAACCCCATCAAACAGAACCAAGTCTTTTAAAAAGTCTCCCAGGCTGTTCATCTCAATTGCTGACAGGTCCAAAATCTACACCCAGAGACTCTCTAGGGGGATTTCTGGACGTGTTATTTCTTGTTATGAATCTGCCAATACAAAACCTTGTCCTAAAGTGCCAGTCCATTGCACAAACTTGATATCTATCTCTATGGCATTATTTAAATGTGCCCCATGCTGAGATCTGCACTGTCAATATGTACCTCTTCCAAACCCTGTGTGGTGGATCATTCTTCTAGATCAGATGCTGCCTTGGGAATGGAGTCGTGTCTTCAGTACTGGACTCCGCTCCAGTTCTCCCTCCTCCTGATGAGGATACTGCTGGGAAGTCACCTGCAGTGGAGCTCCCATAGGGACGCTACTCAAAGAAGGAGGAGGGGTTATTCATGCTATGCAGTAACTGGAGTTCTTTGAGATGTGGGAGCTCCACTGCCCATCCTCTGCTTCAGAGTTTGCTCTGCGGGACTTGGCAGATGAGAAGGAATTGAGGGCGGTTCTTCCGTGCAGCCCTATATACCCTCGTGCAGCCCTATATACCCTTGCTGCTGGGCATGAGGATGTGTAGGGCATGGGGTGAACAGGCACTGCTACCAAAACTCTGATCAAAGCCACATGGGGCGCACCTGGAGTGAAGCCCCCGAGAGGACATCCATCTCAAAGAGCTCCAGCTACTGCACAAGCAGAATGACCTCTCCATGTCACGTTACTAGCAGATAATCCTGGTCAAATAAACACATTGCAGCTCCGTTTCAGAAAGCAGTGGCCACTTTGCAGAGTAGCACTTGGAACACAGGTAGTGCTTTCCTTATCCAGAGTCCATCACGTCCACTATCCAGTGATCCTCAGAGCCCTGAGAGGCAGGCGAAGAAGTGAGGAACAGAGCTGTTAAGTGTCGTTCCCACAGTCACAGAGGAAGTGAGTGTCAAAGCAGGGATTATAACTTGGGGCATTCATGAATCCCAGGTCTGTGCTTTGACCATTTGTCCCTGCTACCTTCTTATTTTACATTAGAAAAAACCCTCTCTCTGATTGTGTAGTTGTGCAGAAAAACATTCTGCTGGGAAAGTCTAACCAGGTCTAGGCAATACCTGCTTTCCAGGGGCTGCTGGGAGTATTAACTTGTGGACATTTGCAGAGTGCTGCGGATTCTGCAATTGGGAGAAGGAGGAGGATGGTTCTCATCAATGCTTTAAACTGGTTATCTCTGCCGGTGACTCTTTTATGTTCATTTTCATCCTTGCCGCCATGCCCAGAAGCCATGGAACTGGGCTCTGCACAGACATATGTAAATATATAAATACATCGACGGATCCCTTCAGAGCCATCCAAGTGCTTCAGTTCAGGAGGCGCCTGCCTAAGAGCAAGGAGCGAGGCTCGTATCAGCCCCCAGTTCTCCCATGAACTCAGAGCTTGACCGGTGATGTCATTAAAGCAGGCCCCATGTGATGTGTTGATCTTGGGCAGAAGAAGGGGGCGGGTGCTGTCATTGGAGGAGAATTAACAGCACCCGCCCCAATAGGTTTTCTTATGCTCAGTGCTAATGACGCTGGTGACAGCACTTTGGCAAAGGAGCCATCTCAATGGGCACCAGCCTGGCACTTGCTGCTGTCTGACTCTGTGCCAACTAGAGCTCATTCACCAAGGTGCATGAGACACTGGCAGGTGCAAAAACGTTCCGCTGTGATACACACACACACATACACACACACACCGGAGCCTAGTGCAGGGAGAGGGGGTTGCTATTTGGCTTTTATAGCATTTTTTCCCCTTGGATGTTTGTTAAGTCAAGAGCAAGAGCCCAGAAGGGTTTTCTGGTGCCATTATCTGCACATGTGCACACACTTCTCTCTCGCTCTCTCCCCCCACACCTCTCACGCCTCCCACACAGCTAGAACCCCTTCTCTCCCATGCCCACCCTCTCTAGCAGTCTTAGTCAGGGCTGGGTTAGCAGAGGGCCACTCTGTAACAAGATCAAATAACAGGTGAGATAAAACTGGTGACGAATGCACACACAGCCTTCCCCTCCCAGCTGGAGCAGTCTATATGCAGGAAGGTCTAAATCTTTGCAGTTGTGCCCAGGATTCAGACATCAGCCCCGCTTTGAGCTGGCAGAGCATTCTGGGTATCGACAGAGCCAGCATCCCCCCCCCCCCCCGCACCTTATTCTTCATACCCAGCTAGAAACAAAGGCCTACGGTTAGGGCACATCTGCAAGTTTCAAGCTGTGTGCCCCCCTGGAGTAGGCAGTGCCACCTGTTAGCTGTGAAAGCCTGGAAGCAAAGAGGGAGGGGCACCCATGTTACATGACATGTGCCTAATTAAAATCTCCACCATGTGGAAGATGTAACAGCTCTTAGCAGTGTGTCTTGGCGGGGAACCAAAGTGCTGGGAGAACTTGATACAAGACATTGAAGTCCATGGGAAAGCTTACTATGCAACCACCATCATTCTACTGCTGATTGTAACCCAGTGACACAGCCGAATGGGAACTGTTTCTATCATCTCCGGGATCCCGAAATGAGGCCAGCTTTCAGCTGGGGGAGGGGCCTGGGTGCCACCAACTAGGGCAGCATTGCCAGCTGTGATTCATTACAAATCCATTTTGCCCCGTGGGTGGAGGCTCCTGGGGTGCCTTACAAGGGCTATGGATGCCTGTTTCCTAGGTGCAGAAGAACATGGAGACTGCACCCCAGAACTAGCTGCACTTAGGGAGGCACTGGTTTGTTGTCAATGTCACTTCAGTCAGCAGCAAACTTTAGAAGCCACTCAGTGCATCGACCTGTCATACTGTGAGGTCCAGAATGTGAGCCTCAACTATACCAGTATTTGCAGCAGGCCCTCAATAACCAGAATTTCCTCCTTCATCTTTCCACCCACATGTGGACCTTGATGGCCCGGGGCATGGCTGGTGTAAATTGGTGTAACTCCATTGAAGAGAATGGTGCTCTGTTGCTTTACACCAGCTGAAGATCTGGCCCTGTGAGTTTTTTGCTCAGACTGTAGATTCAGTGTTCACCCTTTTAGGGAATAAATGACCTACAGTGGAGCCTGAGCTGTTGAGGTCAGAACAAAACTTTTCCCACATTCCCCCTCCCATCGGAGGTCCTGGCTTGTTCCATTGAAGAGAGAGGGATTCTGTTGATCTCAGATTTGGAACTCCCCAAAGTCTGACAGTGTTTAGATCTGAGGTTCAGGTTTGGTCCCTGCATTGTGGCATTTCTCTCTCTTGGGTACCTCTGGTTTGCGATCTCCGTCCCGAAGCTCTGGTGAGTTGGGAAAGAACCAGATTTGCCCTCCTATAAAAAAACCTTGGGGAACTGCCCTGAGTTTAACTCTGGGAAGATGCTATGGGCCTGATCCAATGCCAGTTGAAATCAATGGAAGTCTTCCTTCAAAAGGCTTTATGTGGCAGAGGGAGGGATATGTCAGCCATTAATGTACAGTGGAAGTTCCAGAACTGTTATTACATGGACAATTATTATGTTAATTATGGAACTAGCCCCTGTAGGAACTCTATGCAATTACATGGTATTGTTTACCCAGTGACTTATAAATAGCAGTGCACGCAATTGAAAGATGGTATTGATCCA